ATCTCTGTAAATGTTTATGAAAATTAATAAAATATAATTTTAGAAAAAAAATATGTCAGATGAAGTTTCACAATGTTTGCCTCCAAGGAGTAGCCTGGTCTTGCCCTCTCTGGAATGAAACGATTTGTTTTCCTAGCAGTTAATACTCTTCTCCAGCACCATGACTCAAAGGCATCAATTCTCTTTCTTTTATCTCTAGTCCTTTTCCAGCTTTCTGACGCATAGCAAGTAATTGCAAAGACCATGGCCTGGATCAGGTGCATCTTATTCTCCAGACTAACATCGTTGCTCTTCAGTACTTTGGAAAGGTCTCTGACAGCCGACTTTTCCAATGCTTTTAATTTCCTGGCTGCAGGTACCAAGAGTGTTATTGTGGAGCCAAGCAAACTGAAGCTGTTAACAAGCTCAATCTCTTCACCATCTGTCATGATATTGCCAATCAGGTTGGCATATGATAGATAATAAAACATCATTTTGCTTTGTTTTTCTCTTTCCCTAAACTTGAATTTATAGTTATTTTAAAAAGGAAAACAAAACCGACAAATAACACATACAAAATAAGACACAAAAAAATTATTCTGGGTAATAAAAAGATCTTTTAATCCAAAAAAAGAAAACAAAAAGGAAAATATTGCTACCAATAAAATGAAGCAGCAGAGAGGACAGCTCATCCTTTTGGCATCAGAGATTCGTGCATGAGATGGAGACCAGCCCAGCCAAGCAAGAGAAGCAGCAGTGGTGGCTGCAGACCAGAGACTGGTGTGAGGCAGAGCTGAACTAGAACTGCCGCCACACCGAGCCAGCGCTGAGAGCCTTTGCTGGTGCAGAAGAGGGAGATAGAGGTGCCATAATTAGAAGAACTAAAGGAGCTTTGTAACATGACCCAAAGCCCAAAGGCCAGTGAGATTGAGTTTAGAGGGAAGTCTGCTTTTGACTACATCCGAGAAGCTATCCTGAAAAAAGAATTGTATCGTGTTTCTAACCTTGATTTTAACTGTTATTTCCTTAATAAACCCCATAATCATGAAAAAAATAATCGTCATGGCCATACTCCTCTGCAATAATTAATATTTATGTATTAATAATAATGTTATTATGTGCCATTGAATTGGCTGCAACTCACGGTGACCCTAAGCACAATCTGAACCTTGCCCTATCCTGAGCCAATTTCACTGCCTCCAATACAACTACCTCAATTATCCCAGTTAACGTATCAATCCATCTCTTTTAAGGTCTTCCTGTCTGATGTTGCTGAACCTCTTCCCTTCCAAGCATAATAACCTTTTCTAAGAACTGGTCCCTCCTAGAAACTTGCCCAAAGTATGTGAATCAGAGTCTCAACAAAGAGGGTATAAATAGTGTATACTGCATTGAAACAGATGAGGGAGAGAACTATTTAGGAGGAATATATGATTAGGTATGATTGTCATGACAAGAGTCCAGAATGAAACCTGCATAGTGGAGTGAACGGGGGTGGGGGTGGTGGAATTGTATAACAAGGAAATATATTTATTTTTTTATTTTACTTTTCAAAGAGAAAAGGAAACTGGGGGAAAGGGTAGGCAGGGAGGAAAGTTTGCAAATATGCATGAATGGAAATCCAATGTCTTTGGAAACCTTCATTAAAATAAATTTTTAAAAAATTTCCCTTGTACTGGGAAACATTTATCAAGAAGATTACCCAGGAAAAATGCAAAAGGTCATTACAAAGACAGAGGAGGAAGAAAAGACCGAGATGGATGTCAGAAGAGACTCTGAATATTGCACTAGAGTGCAGAGAAGCCAAAGCAAAAGGAAGAAATCAGAAAGTTAAGGAGCTGAGCAGATGTCAAAGGGCAGCTTGGGAAGAAAAATCCAAGTATTATTATGAAATGTGCAGAGTTGGAGTCAGAGAATCAAAAGAGATGAACCTGCTCAGCATTTCTTATACTGAAGGAACTGAAGAACAAATTCAAGTTTCAAGTTGCAATACTTAAGGATGCTATAGGCAGAATGCTGAATGAGCCAGGAAGTATCAAAAGATGATGAAAGGAGAACTCTAAGTGACCAGAAAGTCATAATGTAAGTAATTTAAATGTCTTAATAAAAATTGTGATCAATCTCTATAGTGGAAGAGTTAAATTCATGTTCCAAGATAGGAATTGATGAATTAGGAAATCACAATAGAAATATTATTTACATATATAGAAGCAAATACCAGAAGAAACAGCTAAAAAAATTCATAGTAGTTATGGTGGATTATAGTGATGGATGGTTTATGGAGAAGGATTTGATTATTTTTAATGAAAATCTTTTACGGATCATTTGATTTTTAAAAAATGATATGCATAATAAATGACAATCAACAAAATAAAATTATTAACACAATAAAAAGTTCAGTGATAGTTCTAATCTCCCAGTCTAAACATTTGTCAGCCTTCTCTCTGCATAACCGTACACAGTGCCTCACCCTTGCTGAAGTGGAAGTGAATCTCTTCTCCTGCCCTTGGCTTCCTCAGGGATATAGGCGTCTCTGTCTCTGACAAGGGTAAATCATAGAATTTATACTCCACGTATACTTGTCTTACATTCTCATCAGACATCACCTCAGCTTCTGGGTGGAAGGCCAGGGAGACAATTTCAATGCATATCTTCTCTGAACTCTGATAAAGAAAAACAGTAATTTATTTCCTAAAGGTTTCTGACACTGCAAGTGTTGTATTCCATCAAATTAATATTTTATCCAGAAATAATGCACCCTCCATGGCTAATTTTGAGAAAATTTGTCAAGAAAATGGAGTTGTTGGAGAGCTCTGGTTGCCTAGTGGCAAGAAGCGGCACTGCAATCCCAGAAGTGAACAGTTTGTATCCACCAGATGCTCTGCTGGAGGAGGGACAACCTCCTCCTGTGCCAGTCAGATCTGATTTGACGGTACACACACACACAAAAGAATAAAAAAGTAATAAAATAAAATAAAATACAATAAAATAAAATAGAGTTGTTTTATCTACTAGCCCAGGAAACCATTCTAGACCAGTTTCCCCTAGCCATTTCCACATACAAAATTAAGAATATTTCTGTTATTTTTTCCCTCAAATTTTCTTAAGGAAAACAAAGCCGGTGTTTTTAAGAAGTTAGGTCTTATAAGACTTTCATATTTCCATTGGTGATTTAGTAACTGCTTTACCCACTAGAAGAGAGTGCCAGTGGTGGTGTGGTTAAAGCACTTGGCTGCTAACCAAAACGTGGGTGGTTTGAACTCACCAACTTCTCAGTAATAGAAGAGTCAACTTCTGTAAACATTTCTAGTCGTGGCAGCCCTACAGAGTAGTTCCATTGGGTCTTACAGAATCACTCTTTGGTAAAATCAACTAGATGGCAGTGGGGGTTTTTTGTTTTACTGTCATAGCAAATAATTGCTTCCTGGGCCTGCCTAAGTGCAGGCCATCAGAGTACCCTCCCCTCCACAGCCACTCTAGCACTTTCATGTCCATTTCATAGGAGCTGCCATTGTTACCTCTGTTTTGATTGTCCTTTTGTACACTTTGGTATTAAAGGTTAACAGAAGGAGGCTAAGGGAGCTCTAGCAGCTTGTTGTTGTTATGTGCCATCGAGTCGCCTGTGGCTCATAACGACCCTGTGTACAACAGCTCTGAACCCTGCTCTATATTGAGTCAACATTACTGTTCCTGACATACCTACCTTCATTACCCCAGTCACTGAGGCAATCCATCTCATTGAGGGTCTTCCTTTTTTGTGCTGTCCCTCCACCCTCCCAAGCATGATGTCCCTCTTCAAGGATTAGTCCCTCCTTGCACCATGCCCAAAGTATGTCAGATGAGCTTCAGAACCTTTGCCTTCAAGGAGCAGACTGGGTTCACCCTCTCCAGGATGAACCTATTTGTTCTCCTGGCAGTCCATGGTATATTCAATACACTTCTCCAGCACCACAGCTCAAAGGCATCAATTCTCCTATCATCCCTAGTCATTGTCCAGCTTTCTGATGCATAGCATGTAATTGCAAAGACCATGGCCTGGATCAGGCACACCTTAGTTTCCAGACTGATAAAATTGCTCTTCAGTACTCTGGTTATGCCCCTGTACCACCAATCCAAAGGCATGGGGCTGAATCCACCAGGTGCTATTTAGGAGAAAGATGGTCAATCTCCTCCCATGAGATTACATGCCTCTGAAAACCCATTGGAGCTATAGAGCAGTTCCAATTCCAACTTGATGGTAAACAACTACAATAATAGGAGGCTGACTCATCAAATGATTCTCCTCTCCTCTCTCCCTCCCCTCCCCTCTCCTCCCCTCCTCTCTCTCTCCTGTCAAATCAGATCTGACTGGTACAGGAGGAGATTGCCTCTCCTTCTCCAGCAGAGAAATCTGGTGGATTGCAACAGCTCAGCTCTGGGATTGCAGTGCAGCTTCTTGCCACTAGGCCACCAGAGCTCACCAAGAAGCTGTAAATTCTTATTGAGGTCATAAATCTTAACAAGAGGAAAATGCTCATCTTTCTCCAGCAGAGCTATTAGTGGATTCGGATTGCTGGAGATGGGAGGCCTTTTGCTTAACCACACAAGACACAATAGATTATGTCACCAGAGTTCCTTTCTCTCTCCAGAGTGAGGTAGAAAGTCAATGACATGACCTTACTAATGAGTCAACTCATGATGATTTCCTGTTGTTGTTAAGTGTTGAACATGTCTCCTAGCGACCCTATGAACAAATCTGAACTTTGTTCTAGAACTACTGCCATTTCTCTAAATTCATAGAATTCCTGCTCACTGCCATGACCAGGCCTGAGGTTCAGGTCCGTCAAGGACACTTCGCACTGTGCACGCTGCGAGTGCTACAGCAAAGGGGACGTGTCTGTTACGTGTAGGTCCTACTGCCTACGGGATGCCCTTGCTCTTAGGAAGTGGATGATCTCCTATCAGCTATAATATTCCTTTTCATCTGTATACATCTGCCTTGTTGTTGTCATTGTGTGTCCCTGAGTCAGAACCAACTCCAGCAGGTTTTCAGAGGCAGTAAATCACACAGGAGTTGGCTGCCTACCTTCATCCGGTGCAGCATTTGGTGAATTTGAACCCTGTGCCTTTGAGATTATAGGTCAACTTTTTGCCACTCAGCCACCTATGTTGCCAGACAATACCTGGTACTTTTCCTAAAGTCTACTTTTTCTTCCCAAATTTTTTCTTCTCTTAGAAAGCAAACTCCTGTGCTTTCTCCTAGGAGGTTTAGCAAGCCATCTTTCTCAAAAGACAACCCTGGGTTCAGCAGCATCAGAATCATCCGGTTGTTGTTATTGTTATAGGTCAACAAGTCAACAGTGACTCATAGCAATTCTGTGCACAATTCTGAACCCTGTACTATCTTTTTTTAAATAATTTTTTTATTTTTTTTACAGAGGTTTTGGATTTCCATTCATTCATTGCCGCAATTTTCTCCTTTCACACCCCTCCCCACCAGCTCGCTTCCCCCTCCGAAGAGAGAAAA